GCCACAAGTCCTCCTTTTCTTTTTGCGAATACAGACTAACATGGCTGTTACTCTGAAACCTGTCATTATTCAGGGGGGATATAAGCAAAACCAAACCCAAGGTGATTACCAGTCCTGGGCCCCATCCTGCAAGGTACTGAGTGACCTTAACTCCCACTACAGAACCCTGCAGGATGAAGCCCTCTGTTAAGATCGCGCAGAGAAATAATTAATTCAGGGGAAGAATTCAGGGACAATTTATTCATATTTCCCTTGGTCCATAGATGGGCCACGCTGCTCTTGCACAGATGGGGGAATTCATCCACCACCACTGCAATATTCTCCTAAGCTTTCGCAGGGACCTCATGGAGGCCCCTCCACTCCTTAGTGGAGTCTGTGTAAGGGCTCGGGGGCAATATGTAGCCAGGAGAAGGGCGGGTGGGGAGAAAATTAACATTGTCCCTTCATCCACACTGCAGGGATCAGGGAGGAAAGAAAATTAATTCCTCAAAGATTCCATGATAGAGGGTCTTTGGGGCAACCACTGACTGTGGGAGCATGGACAGAACAACCTCAATGGAGTGCACAACCCCTGCTCCCCCGACCAGCAGAGCATATCTCTGCAAGAGAAACTTTATGTAGATTCCCTCCCCTTCAGACTCCTCCAGCAGGTTTTCCCACAGAAGCGGGAGATCAGGCCCTTTTTTAACTGCCTAATATTTACTTCCTCTCTTTATCCTATATTAGCATGACTGGTTTATTATTTGTATTACAGTAGTACCTTGAGCTCCCAGCTGCGACCAGGGTCCCATTGTCCTGGGTGCTGTACATATACATAGGAAGATACAGTCCCTGTCTCTGAGAGTTTATAATCTGAATAGACAAGACACAAACAGCAAAAGGAAGAATAATTATCCCTCTTTTACGAGTGGGGACTGAGGCAGAGGCATTAAGTGACTTGCCCAAAGTCACTCAGAATCTGTGGCATTGCTGAGAATTAAACACAAGTGTCCCAAGTCCCATTTCAGGGCTTTAACCACTAGACCAGCCTTGCTCTATATTATTAGTATTTCTTTTGTGTTGATTTCTCCCCTGTGCATGAGGCTTTTGTGCCTGTGACTGTTGACGGATGAAGTGAGCTGTAGCTCACGAAAGCTTATGCTCAAATAAATTGGTTAGTCTCTAAGGTGCCACAAGTACTCCTTTTCTTTAGTCTCTAAGGTGTCACAAGTACTCCTTTTCTTTTTGCAAATACAGACTAACACAACTGTTACTCTGAAACCTGTTTTACTCTGATCCAAGGAGATAACCATTCAAAAAAGTAAAACAGCTGGGTCAATATTACCAATCTGGCTACAAAGTGTATTTAATATAGCATCTTGGCTTTTTGTAAGTCCCCCTTCCACTACCAGCTAGTGAACTGGTGATTGCTCTCAGTCTGTGGTTACTTCTGATGTCAGGCTCTATGGAACAGTTGGTTATGCTACTTTAAAAATTAAACAAAAAATATTTTTGTTTAAAAAAAAAAATCTACAAAACATGCACCCACCAGTCCGCTTTTTTTAAGTGATATTTACCCATAAAATGCTGCTTAAAATCCCCCAAACAGAGAACCAGAGGTACAATCCAGCAGAATGTTTAAAGTATCTTTGCTTTTTATAATAAGGAATGGATTGTTGTCCAGTGGATGGAGCAAGGGGGATTGGGAGTCAGGGCTCCTGGACTCTATTCCCAACTCTCCCACTAACTCATTGTGTGACCTTGGGAAAGCCAGCAAATCACTTACGCATGTTCTTAAATCCCACTCAAAGTTTTAAACACGGCTCACATACTTTGTGGAATTGAGGCCTATAACTCAGTTTACCTAACTGTGAAATGTAGACCACTTTTCTTATGGGGTGTTGTGCAGCATTGGTAACACTTGAAACACTTGTATGAAAAGCTATGCAGGTGTGAAGTAGTAAATTTTAAATATATATATATTATCAGTAAGTTATAAATACCACATATATGCGATGGTTATTACTATATCAGTAACTTAAATAGTGTTTTTATGTATGAAGGCAGTGTGATCTAGTGCATAGAGCTCTGGACTGGGACTCAGGAGACCTGCGTTCTAGTCCTAGCTCTGCCATTGACCTGTTGGGTGACCCTGGGCAAGTCTCTGTGCCTCAGTTTCCCAATCTAAGTGATAACGATACTGACTACTCTTATAGATCTACTGATGAAGAACAGTAGGTAAGAGCTATTATTATGTGACAATATCATTTATAAATGATTTACTCTAACAATTTTCAGTAACTTTCTCTGTTATTCTTTATTTGTAGGTAACGGTTCTATTGTACTGTAAATTGTGTGCTGCATGCTCCATTCACATTGTGTGTATAGTAAAAATAATGTAGGCAGACAGTTCAGAGCAGCAGACGATGAGTTCTCAGATTTGACACATTGAAAATGAAATGTTTGTGAAGCTAAAACATTTCAACACTGCTCCTAAAGACCAAGTACAACAGAGAGAACCAGCAGGTTGCAGCTGGTTACTCTGAAGGGCCACCATTTTGAGGGGCAGAGGGGAATCATCTTGAACATCTATGTGGTAGGCACACATTTCTGTGAGCCCAAAGGCCTCAAAGCAGGAGACAAATTTCATTACAATTTATAATAAGGAGACTAGACACTGTTCTGCATAAAGCATCTCCCAGTGCTAGACAACAAGAGTCATTTTGGGGAGCTAGGATTCTTCTGCATTGCAAAGCAATGTCACAGCTGGTTGCTTTAAATAAATAAACAAACAAACAAACAAATAAATCCTTGTGTGCAAATCCATTGAGATTCTGCCACAGTTGGGTGTTAGTTGATAAATACTGGGGGGAGGATGGGACTCGATGCACAATTAGCCGGTTGGACTCATTGCCACAAGACATCTTTTGAGACCAGGAGATTAGTGAGATTCAGAAAAACATAGGATGTTATATGGATAACAAGAATATCCAGAGTGGTTATATTAGGGACTTAAAAGAAAAAACAAAAACACAACACAAGAGTTTTGGAAGGGTGATGAACTATACTGCTGCGGGGCATAAACCAGCTTCTTTAAATTCATGGAGGTCAAGAAGAAACTTTCCATGGGGGCAGGTTATCCCAGAGCTGCCTACTGTAGGGTTTCTTGCATCGTCCTCTGAAGCAGCTTATACTGACCACTGTTAGAAACAAGGTACTAAGACTAGGTGCACAGCTGGTCTGATATAGTATGGCAGGTCCTATGTTCCTGTGACCATGGCATGCACAGTCAAAACAGTGATCGTGTTTTTTGTAATCACTTCAAAGCCACTTATTGCTCGTATGTCACATGCTGCTCTAGAATGCTTTCTTACTGCAGCTTACTCTTCCGTTCATATCTGGAGGCTCACTTATAAAAATCCGTCTTTGAGCCCAGAAAAGTCCAAACGGGCATTCAGGTTTCAAAATTGGGAAACCACCATTTCTGTCATAAGCAATTATCCTGCAGCCGTAACATTTTGTATGGACATAGGGAATCTATTCCTAAAGGTTCCCACGGTGTTTCATAAACTATCCACACACACAGCACCACTGAAACACATCCACCTCTGAGGCAGCACTCAGGAGAATGGTGGGGAAGCAGGAAGAGAAAATTCTGGACCAAGGCAACTGGAAAAACCTCTGGGTCTATGGAAAATACTACAGGGGTATTATCTCCATTGTATCTTATATCTAACATATTGCTTTTCTAAGGGGTGAGCAGGCACTCTTTGCTGAAGGGAAAGCAGTCACTGAACCATTTGTATTAGGCTCCAGAAGTCAGATATCTTACCATGCAATCTAGTTAGCAAAGTAACATGCAATGCAGAGCAGGTAGCGAGACAGATTGCAGATCCACACAGCACACCACATAGCAACACCTTCCAGCATCCCTAGGGCAGTGTCATCTAGTGGCTAGAGCACTGGATTGCAAGTCTAGACTCCTGGATTCTATTCCTGTCTCTGCCTCACTGCAAGACCTTAGGCAAGTCACTTAACTGTGTCTCAGTTTACCAATCTGTCAGTCGTGTATAACACTCACCATCCATATAAGGGAGTTTGTCAGCCTTGAAAAAGCCTCAGATGTATTGAAAGTTCTCAGCCTCATATAATACTTTAAACCCTTCCACCTAAGTGCAAAATCTCCTCCTATTCCTCGGCATTCAGCTACTATTCCATCATTATTTCTAAATCATACAAACAATAAATAAGATGCTGCAGACATTTCCTGATTGGACCTTTCCCTGTATATTCCAACAGTTCTCAAAGAATTGTTTGTTTAGTTTAAACTGGATTCGGACACCACTGTTTAACATCTGAAACACGCTAACGCTTCATATTCATCAGTGTTCAGGGCTGAGCTCAATATAAAGACTCACATATGCTATGGCTTTTACTCAGACACACCACACTGCCAAGCAAGTGGCTTGCAGACAGTTGTATAACCAAGTACTTAGAGCAAGTTCCTATTTGGGGAAACCCAGCTGCAGTTGTAATGCAAAGCCCCTGTGCCGTATGTCACACAAGCCCATCTTTAAATACTTATCCCTCTTCTTTTGTGCTATGTTCCAGCATAAACCCTTACTGGTTCCAAAAACAAAACAGGAAGCCACGTATAGTAAAAGAAAATCATTCTTTAGAGACAGAGGTAATCAGCCACCCTTGGGAGCCAATAATGAAGGTCAGAATAAATATAGGGATCACCTCTGGAGCAATTTTCAGATTAGACGTGGTCAGCAACCACTAAACTGTAAGAGAAAATGAAAGATAATCCACTGTGGGGGCAAGGGGAATCTTTAATACTTAACACCCAAACTCTTCTAGGGCTAATTATCTTGGCTGATTTTCAAATGTTAATTTGCCATTTCAAGTCAAGAGCCTCAGAAACTGAAGATGGGAATGACTTACTGGATCTAGACAGTACAGGACTGTTTCTCTGTAGTTTTTCGTTGAGCAGGTAAATAAGGAATTACTTGGCTTACCCTGCAACTCTTGCTGAAATCAATGGAGCTGTGAATGCTCACCGCTTTGCAGGATCAGGTCCTCCTTGCCTTCAAAATAACAAAGGGGGGGTGATTTTGTGAGAACGTGTCCAAATAATAACAACGATCAGGAAGCACAAAAGACTATTTTCCCCTGGTTGGTATAATTACAAGTTAAAATTTGTCAAACTGTTTGAAGCATAAAGAACCATCCTGGCTTGAGTTTGGAGAGGGCCAAGCTCAAAATAAGTCATGGCCAGGTGGGTGACAGCACAGAAGTTAACTGAATTCCTGTTAACATTTCTATGCTCCTTCAGATTGGGGACCATCACCACTGTATCAGAGTGCCTATTTTATCAAAGAACTGCAGCTTCTCATGCTGGGCCTTACAGCACGTGTAGCTGTGTAACAAAAAGGGAACGTCATTCCTTTTATTCTGCACTGCTCCTTTTAACATGCAGGAGGTTTCCCTCCTGATGTCTTGGGTTTCAATTCAGATCCAGAATGTTAAGCCTGGTCTACACTAACAAGTTTTGCTGGCATCATTACATCAGCTAGAGGTGCAGCTTTTACCAACATAGCTACTCTGACAAAAGCCCTGCGGGACATGGAGCTATACTAGCAAAAAAAGTGCTTTTGCTGGTATAGTTAACGTCACTCAGGGAACTGGTATAAGCTATACTGGCATCTGTTCTAGGACATTTTGTGAGGATAGCTATAGCAGCAAACCTTTTAAGTGCAGACATGGGTTTAGAGTCTTTCATATGAAGAAGACTTTATATTCATTCTTTCTTTATATGTCATTTCCTTAACCTGAAGTTATCTAAATCAAACCCAAAAACAAACAAAAAAATCCAAATACACGTGTGCACGGCTTGGAAAATAGACATAGGGCTCAGTCCTGTATTTCACTGGGATCTGATGGCACTCAGCTCTCCCCCGAAAAAAGCTGTTTAGCACTTAGCAGAGTTGGGCCTCTAATGAAGCAAGTTGCTGTTTCAAACAAACATGCTAGCAGGGCTGCTGCACTGGTTGGCATGGCATGGACAAAAATATTCAACACATTCATGTAAATACACCAAGAATTTTAAGAGGCCCCGGCAGCTTATACAAAAACCTACACACACATTTACCACCACATGACGACCACTAAGATGCAGTCTTAAAGCCATCAGCAAGGGGAAAGACACTATGTATTATACTCAAAAAGAAAAGGAGTACTTGTGGCACCTTAGAGACTAACCAATTTATTTGCGCATAAGCTTTCGTGAGCTACTGCATCCGATGAAGTGAGCTGTAGCTCACGAAAGCTTATGCTCAAATAAATTGGTTAGTCTCTAAGGTGCCACAAGTACTCCTTTTCTTTTTGCGAATACAGACTTACACGGCTACTACTCTGAAACCTATGTATTATACTGCAGCACCTAAACGGTTTGCAATTACAAACATCTCTGACTGTTATTCTCCTGCCTTCAGAGTCTAAGGGCCCTCTGCTTAATGTGAAAAAAATCATTACTGATTTGCCTAAGGCAACATGGAGCAGAAAGATTGTACAAGTTTCTATGGAAACAAAATTAGTAGAGTAAAAACCACACTCATGGGCATTGTAAATTATTTACCAGGACAGGCCCCTGTCCATTAAGATCTGATAAGAAGATTTAAAGGTAATCACTGGGCAGAGTGTTGCAACCGCTTAGTTCAGGTCACTGAAACCACAGTCAAAGAAGAGAACAATTTTGGCTTTCTGGCCATGTGTACTGCATAAACCACTTTAGGTTAGAAAGCATGACTCACTCACAGGTGGTGGAGAAGTTTGAATATTAAACATCTTTCAGATCCTGCATTTTTGTCATCATATTTGCAGTTTGGAGATTTCTTTGGTGAGGTGGAGGCAGAGCACAGATCAGGCCTGAGTGATATGTGAGAGAAGATAAGTGGATGTGGATGTGCAACGAAGGATGCCATTCTGTGCTCCAGATTCTAGGCTTTAAAATAAAAATCAAGTCTCTTGCCCACAGGGCTGCACCGTGTCTAAGGGTATGTCTACTAAGCAGTAAAACACCCGCAGCTGGCCCATCTCAGCTGACTTGGGCTCAGGCTGTGGGGCTATGAAATTGCAGTGTAGATGTTCAAGTTCAGGCTTGATATTCCTGGTATTTCTAAAGGAAACCACAAGAAGGGTGAGGGGAGGGAGAGAAAGAAATACTTTTTCAGAACAGAAACGAATACCGCACCCCTTCCTCTCCCTCTCATCTTTCAGGACTTCTTTATACATCATGAAGAAGCAAAAGATGGTGTAAACCCAATTTAAAAAAAAAAAAAAGGACACTAGCAGTTCTCCTTTAAGTCCCATCTGAAAGAGGACACCTCTAGCTGTACAGCACACCTTAATACACTTGCGGGGGCCCTGTTTAAGTATGACTCAGAGATTAACAGTGTGTTACCAACACCACTTCTGCAGCCTTTAGGTGTTTCCTGTACAGGTCTCCCATCTAAAGTACAAACTGATATGGCCCTACTTAGCTTGCAAGGATCACACTTATAAGTTGTTATCACTTGAAACCACAGTTAGAAAGAAAAAAATTGAGTAATTCAGTCTCAAAGCCAATAAGGTATTTGACTTGCACATATTCAGTCCAGTGAATGCACTGAACTGACACCTAGGTACAGTTACAGTAAGTGTGTGCTGTATTCTTGCTATGCAGTGACACAGCATCTCATTTTAAATAGCCCTCCTCTTTTATTCTCCCTCACACAGTGTGACGTAGCTCAGTGGAGGAGAACCTCCTTGGAAAACTAAACTTACTGGTGATGGATATTTAATTAAACACCAATATGTCACATATCCTCCAGGGAAACAACAGAAATGTTTCCAATGAACCTTGAAAAAAAAGGGATATTACATCGTCTGGTACATTTGGGCTCTTAGAGAGTAAATGTGCAGTTCACTAAAAGTTGTAGTTTAAAGTTTGCTCTGTTTCTGTTGGCATCCCGACAGAATGGATCAGAATATTAGATGGAAAATATATGGGGAGATTAACCTGGATTTAAACTCAGTGTGATGTTCAAATAGGCTCTAAAACTCTTTTCAAACTTGGAAGCACAGCTTGGACAAATTGCAAAAAAAGAAAAGGCACAGTAGATTAGGGCAAGTGTGAAGGTGGTACTAATTATAGAAAAGTTGAAGGGTCCAGAGTTAGATGATTTCGACACATGAAAAGATGTTCAGACGAATATATAGGAAACATGGTGTTAAACTTAGAAATGGAGGGTAAGAGAAGGGTTGGAAGACCTAAAACTATCATACAAAAGGATGTGATTAGCGAGGAGTTTATGAGGAACTGCTTCAAGACAAACTAGAATGGAGAAGAAGGACTCGATGGCCCGACCACACATAGATGGCCCGACAACACATAGATGGGATTAAGGCTAGAAGATTATGAGATTTCTCAACGGCAAGAGAAGCTGATGGCTTCCTTCTATTGTCTCACTTTGACAGACGCCTGAACTCTCTGGGTTCAGCCTAGACACAAACAAATAATAATGCTGCTGCCGCCACCACCTCCTGCACTGATTTATTATGGCCAGCCACTGAGTAAGGATAAGGTCTTCCCACAAACGCCATCACGCTTCCATTTAATTTTTTAATTAGCATAATTAATTTCCACATATAATTCACAATGCATCGCAGTCCAGATATTCAGGCCAACCCAGAGCAAAGACAATTGTCAGCCAATGGTAGTTCACAATTTAGAACAGGCCTAAACACTGACATGATTATTTACTATTTGTATTGCGGTAGTGTCTAGAGGATCCATTGTGCCAGGCACTGTACATACACAGAACAAAAAGATGGTCCCAGCCCCAAAGAGCTTGTACTTGGAGTGTAAGATGAGATATATAACAGGTCAATACAACAAGCAGAGGGAGAGCACAAGGAAACAATGAGACAATATTGGTCAGCATGATAGGCTGTGTTCCCAGCACACCAGCAGCCGAGCTTTCTGTAGGCATCACAGCAGAGGTCAGTTTTAAGGAGGGATTTATAGGAGGACAATGAGGTGGCTCTGCGGGTGTTTACAGGGAGCTCCTCCCATGCATAAGGGGCAGCATGGGGGAAAGGCTGGCATTGATATAAGCTGTATCTATATGCGGGGATGCTAATTGAGTACCCTGGGACCGACTTAGATAGTTGGGGGAAGGGGAAAGCAAACATGCATTCTTTTCCAGTCCCTTTTCTGCCCTCCTCTCTCCAATCACCTTGATCTTAATCATAACTAATAACAAAATTAACTAACTGCATTTTTGTTAAGCTTCTAAATTTATACCAACTGGGCTGCATTTGTACCATTGGGAGGCTTGTCCCCATCTTTCCCTAAAATCTTGGAGGGAAGAAACCCTGTTGAATGGAGAACAAGTCCCAGATGTATATTAGGGGAGTTCATGAGCACATCTGTTTCCTTGACCATAGGCAACGACTCCAAAGGGTGCTAGTATAATGGACTTAGCCACTATAGGATAAGAAAATCACGGCTACCTCTGCATTTCCAAGAGAACACAGCCACAGAAATCTTGACTAGAACGGTTTTCATTCACCTATGCATTGCATTGCTATCCAGGTATGTCACTCCCTTAATTCCACTCCAATCTTCATCCGGACCTGCACTGCCACTCCTCTATTCTCTCCTTAAATTCCAGCTCTACAGGCCAGCAAGTAGAGTATGCTGCAGCCTGCCTCCAAAACCATGTAAACAGCACAACTGCATTATCCCCCACACTCCATTGATACCACTTACTCCATTGCAAGACCCAGTCAACATAAGTATTTCTATATTCCCCTCTCTGATCTCCCTATTTGTCTCACTCCTGTTTCCACTCTGTCCCTTCACACCATCTAGATACCCTTGGTGCAACAGCTTTTTCCATCAACTCTCTATCTCATTTCAAATCCCCTGTGAAAACAGTTTCTGTCACTTCCCTGTACCTGCTCTTCCTTTGTTTTCTCATCACTTGCTTTGTAACCAAGTTTTATAGCCCCATAAAGCATTCTGGGACATGGTTTGCAGGGA